AAATAAAAATAGACATGAGTCTATCAGAAACACTGCGTCTCTGAACCCGGTGCGATGCAATAATGAGCGATCGCTCAGTGGCTCCGCCCACGGACAAATCTCATTGGTCGAGATTTCAACATAAAAACATGGACGTCTGGAACAGTGTTATTTTAGTATCACTAGAGATTTTGAAGTAGGGTTTTTGTGTGTGTGTGTGTGTTTTAAAAAAATATATATTAATTTTTATTTCTGCTTCAATTATTTTAGTACTAAATTAAAGTGAGAAATGCTTCTAAAAATTTTTTTTTAAATCTGTAACAATTCTATATTTTATTTCAGGTAATGTTTGTTTTATTTCAAGCACTGAAAATACTTTTAAAGGTTTTAGTTTTAACTATAATAACCCTGGTTTGGAAATCCACTGAGTCTGGATAGGATACGATGAAAGATGATCATTTATATCATTATGTGGATTGCATTGCTCAAATAATCTTATTTTTCAAACTGAAATCCCTGGCTTTGATTGCAGACTTTCTCCATTTGCTCTCCATTTCATGTCATTGCTATCTAGAAACATGTGAGCTGAAATCATTTGTATTTCATGCACTATTCTGTCTAGGTGAAAGTCTAAACTCTAGACTCTGAAAATGCAAAGTATAGCTTTCGAAATCTTGCTCTAATCCTCATGCTGTATTGTCATATAGCGTTCAAAGCAGACTCGCAGAAAGGATATGAGTGTACTAAAATCCTTATTGATGCTCTTCTAACGGGATGAAAAGGGCTAAAAATATAGAGTGCAGATGTGGCACTAAACCGGAAGATGGCCTTCCCTTTGTTCAGTACTATAAAAGTCTGTGGAGAGAGAAGAGAAAGGTTAGTTAGCACCAGTGACATTTAATATCAAACACAACATGAACCTCAAACATTTATGAAATATGAGCAGAAGCTCATATGTTCTGTACATTATAAATATCTCTTTCCAACACATTTGCAGAGGAAAAAGGCATTCGATTACTGGCAAAACTTTACAAACATTAGTTACGTTAGTTAGCATGAACTGCACTTAAACAGCATTTATTCATCTTTCTTAATGTTAATTTCAAACATTATTAATAGGGCTGTCAAACGATTAATCGCCAATAATCGCATCCAAAATAAAAGTTTGTATTTACATAATATATGTGGGTGCACTGGGTATATATATATTATATATATATATATATATATATATATATAAAAATACACACGCTTGTATATATTTAAGAAATATTTTCATGTATATTCTGTATATAGATTTATATATAATTTAATAAATATTTTATACATAAATAATATTTGTAAAATTTTTTAAATATACATGCAAGTGTCTATATTTATATATATAAAATAATTATACCCAGTGCACCCACATATATTATGTAAACACAAACTTTTATTTTGGATGCGATTAATCGCGATTGACAGCCCTAATTATTAAGCATTATTTAATGCACTATGAACAGCTGTATTTTTATTAATAACGTTAACAAAAATGAATAAATACAGTAACAAATGTATTGCTCATAGTTCATGTTAAATAATACATTCACTATTCACTAATGAACCTTATTGTAAAGCGTTACCAGATTACTTTCATAAAAGCTTTCAAAAATTTGGGCTCAGTCAGATTTGTTTTACGCTTTTTGGTGCATTAATTTGATTAAAAAAAAAATACAATAAAATGTGAAATATTATTACAATTTAAAATAGCTGTTTTCTATGTGAATATATTGTAAAATATAATTTTTCCAGTGATTTTCAGCATCATTATTCTTCAGCGTTCATCCGAGAAATGATCCATTTTGTGAATTATGTGATTAATTGAACGCTTCAAAGGACGGTTACCATGGACCATTTTTGTACGAGTACATAATGCATTTTTCAAACAAACAGTAATTATAATGATAAAGCAGGAGGCAATACTCAGGAGTGCACACAACACGCAAATACATTCTCCAGCGCTCAGCGGAGAGCCGAGTGTCTCGCGGGACTCGCGTCTGTCGCCACGCTTGAGCTTTTCTCTCCCTGCGCTGCACAAACACGAGGATTCACGGCCCCTTCGATTTACACATAAATAAAGCGGCGTACAGAATAATTGCATCTTCGGGGTCAGCATGTTTTAGCGCTACGACTGGCGAAGCCCTTTCACCGTGTGGCATCTTTGCTAAAGTCGTGGCCTTGTAACCTCTCGAAATAGCTTGCTTATGTTCTCCATTCTTATGTAACTAACATCTAGGTCAAATTTTGCCTGTGTTTGTTTCCACTTTCCCCAGGTTTCCTCTGGGACATCATCTGCCAACTGCAGGTCCACATGAGCAGATTTGGAGAGGAACACAACACGAGAAGGCAGAGGGAAACCCAACCCGCCAAGCTTTAAACAACGTGATGTTTACACAAAATGATATTAAAGCAATCGTTCACTCAGAAATGAAAGGTCTGTCATCATCTACTCACCCTCGTGTTGCTCAAAAACACAAAAGGAGTTATCTCGCAGATCTCCGAGCTTTGAATGAGTCTCGAGGCCTGAGGCCAAACAGGGTTTTTTAAGTGAACGACCTAAATTTCTGTCAGATGAATTCAGAAGACTTCTAATGTGGTGCACTAGACATAGTATATGGGTTTAAAAGAATTATTATTTCATTTTAGCAATTAACAGCACTGACACTATCGGATACTGAACTGAGTTCAAACTAAATTTGACCTGAACTTTTTAAACATTGACACTGAACTGAGCTGAATTATAACTCTATTGTCTTGTATAGAGCTGAATTTAAAGGAGTAGTTCACTTTTAGAAAAACTTTTGCTGATAATTTACTCGCCCCCATGTCATCCAAGATATCCATGTCATTCTTTCTTCAGTCGAAAAGAAATGAAGGTTTTTGATGAAAACATTCCAGGATTTTTCTCCATATAATGGACTTCAATGGGAACCAAACGGTTCAAGGTCCAAAAGACCGTTTCAATGCAAACTGCAAACTGTTCAAAGGGCTTTAAACGACACCAGACGATGAATAAGGGTCTTATCAAGCGAAACGATCGCTCATCTCTCTCAGAACAGAGCAAGGCGAGCATTTGAGCTTATAAAACTTAAACTTTGTTATTTATTTTTTAAATGAGCGATTGTTTCGCTTGATAAGACCCTTATTCATCGTCTGGAATCGTTTAAAGCCCTTTGAACAGTTTGCAGTTTGCATTGAAACTCTCATTTGGACCTTGAACCGTTTGGTTCCCATTGAAGTCCATTATATGGAGAAAAATCCTGGAATTTCTTTTCGACTGACGAAAGAAAGACATGGACATCTTGGATGACATGGGGGTGAGTAAATTATCAGCAAAGGTTTTTTTTTTTTTAAGTTAACTACTCCTTTAATTTGTTTAATAATTTAAACAAAATTTAAATTACTTTCGCAACATCAAGACTATTAAGGAACTGAACTGAATCAACATTGACTGAATAATGACATTTGACACTTTTGTTAATAATGACAATTTTCTTGTTTATGGTGATTTATAAATAAATAAATGGCTTTTTTTCAGAGAATTTGGCATCTAAAATTGCTAGAAAAGTCTTTGAATGATATCACATTTTATGTCGATTTTATGTGATGCTGTTGCTCTAGTAATAATCGCACAATGACGAATGATTAAACGAGTAACAAAAGTAAACCACATAAATGACACCGAACACTGAACAGAAAGAACGAGGGCTTAAATACACACAGGGATAATCAACGAAACCAGAAACAGGTGCGCAATTTAATCAGAAACCATGGAAACCAACTCGCAACAAGAAGATGGGAACAATGAAAATGAAACTTGATCGTGACAATGAGTAAAAAAGCTCACGATCAGGACACAGAGTTAATAAGATATAGGCAATATATATTTTAGTTAGTTATTAAATTATCATTGACGTCTGAGTATTAATGTCCACATGTGGCTGTCATGTAAGGTCAACTATTTCTGTGCGAATGGGGCTTAAGAAACACAAAACTTATTTATAATGATTTCTTTTCTCTGTGGGCTTACAAAAAATATCAAAGGGAGAGGCGAAACTTTCAGGCCTTTAATCGAAGGAGTACTGTTTAGTGTCAATTCATCTTTCTTAACGGCTTATAAAAGTCTAAAGAGGGCATATTTTCCCACTGAAAAGAGCATTTAAAAGGAGTTTTGGGTCAAAACTTTTAGCTGAAATCCATAGAAATGGAGATTTGTCTGCTTGTGAAAGCGAGAGAAGCCAGCGCAGCAGCGGTCGCATTAACAGCGGCACTGACTCATGCTATTCATCCGTCTGCTGTTCCTGTAGCACACACATCAGCTGCCCTTTACTGACGGACAGCGCTTTGTTTCACTAAAACTTAAAGGGATAGTTCACTTTGAAATTGATTTTTGGCATGTTTCAGCTTACCTCAAGTGCATCCAAGACGTAAGTGTCTTTGTTTCCGCAGTAGTTGTAATTGAAACTTTCCGGCCCAGAAAAGTTATTAAAGACACCGTTAAAATAGTCTGAGTGACTACAGCGGCTCAACCTTAAGATTATCAAGCGACGAGAATACTTTTTGTGCGCAAAAAAAAATAAATAAACATAACGACTTTATTAAACTATTCATCTCCTTCCCTGTAGTCACTCGGACTATTTTAACGAGGTCTTTTAGAGCCCGACCGATAAAGGATTTTGAAGGCCGAAACCGATACAAATATTTTTGGGTTTTAAAATCCGATATATCGGCCGATATTTTTTTTTTCTTCAGAAACGCGCAACAAAACTTTAACAGATTTCCCTAACATAAGTTATTTGTAGTTATTTATGAGTTTTAACTGAAATAATATGATAATGCATTTTAAAAAGAAACTTGTTTCTTTTATTGTTAGAACAGAACAGACTGATGATAGTGGCATTAGCTAGCTTTATGGTTAGCTAGTCTATGATGAGCCCTAATTTAGCAATGGATAACGTCATACTGCAAATTGTAAAACATACATTTTCAATATAACAGGCCGAGGAGAGATGATGCGTCTCATTGCTATAACTGTCAGCGCTATTAAAGAAATACTTCAGTCACATCGTCAAAAGTCAAAAGGACAGTCAGTCAACTACACGTAACTATTACTAGCTAATTCCGCTTCACTCTCGGCAGCAAAACTGGACATGATAGTCACAAATTTTGTCATGCTTATTTGAGTTTAGAGAACTGATGGAGATGTTCTTTTAATTGTTATTCAAGCCATGTTTGTCTCGTCATGACCAATTCAACGAGTGTTGCCAACAGGACCGGTGTAAAGTGCCCTCTGGTGGACAAACTATACAACTCCAACACTCATGACATGGTTCAAGCGTGTTTCCTCCGTTTTTATTTTATTTTTGAAATATTCATTTATCGGCCATTATAACTGCCGATACCGTTGCCTAATATCGGCCGATAATATCGTTCTGCCGATATATCGGTCTGGCTCTAATGTCTTTAATAACTTTTCAGGGCCGGCAAGTTTCAATCCCTTAAAAGCCTATGGAGGAGTGAGACAGCTCTCAGATTTCATCAGAAACATCTTCATTTGTGTTCTGAAGATAAACGAAAGTCTTATGGGGTTGAACAACATGAGGGAGAGTCATTACTGACAGAGTTTACATTTTGGGGTGAACTATCCCTTTAATTTCCGATTATCACTGTAAAGACCTATTAAAAGCGCTATATACGTAAATGAAGATGACTTGACTGACTTGACGACAAACACAATGCATGCTACAGACACCCTCCTGAGATCAGGCTGGACGAGACACTCACTCTCTTGCTCTGGAAGTAAAACGGATCGATGTCCTCCAGAGGGACGCCCACCAGTCCAGAAGGAATGTCTCCGAAGATTCGCGGGAGCTGTTTCCCGGCCTCCAGGTCGGCCCGGGACTTGGGCGTCTCCACGTCTCCCAGGTCCTCCTTGTACTCCTTGGCATTGCGGGCCTCCTCCTCGGCGATCCGCTCCTCGATGCCAGCCAGGGACTCGCGAGTGAACCGGTGAAGACTGTCAGGACCCGGTGGAAACAGTATGGCGGCCATCTTCTCATCCTGAGCCTCCTGTGCAAGTGCTTACTTCACCGCTGGAGGGACAGAGGAACGGGTTATTCGGATCGTTCTCAGCGACATTTCACTGAAGTATCAACTTCTTTATCCTAATTTCCAACTGAAGTGGAAAGTAAATCCGATCATTTGGTTTTTTTTTGGCGAGAAACGAGTGCTTGCTAGCCTGGTGATACCAAACTAGACATAGTCTGGCATGGCATAATTGAAAAGTGTTTTCTTTCTCGCTTGTCTGAAGTATTAATCATTGGTTACCCGTAAGCCAATCACAAAACGTCTGGTTATGACGCGTGTTGTTCGCCAACTGTAAACACATGTATGATGCGCAAAGGGAAAACAAAGCATGCTAGATATCCAGAGCTGTCGCACGACTCAACCTCACGTGATGTCATGAGCTACAGCCAATGGGTTGAGGTCAGTATTCTTCGCTGGGTTTCGCGTCATTTTCGGTTCGTTCTATCGCGTGATTTTTGTGACAAAACATGGTTTGTAGACAAGATAGAATCGTTGTTGTCAACTCGTGAAGTGCGTTATTTGAAATAAATATTTTGCACCATTATAAATGTCTTTACTGTCAGGGTTTGTCACTTCTGTTTGGTTTATATCTCTGACATTCCCGGTTTGTCATGTGTTTGCGTTTAGTCTGGTCTGTTGTGAGCACATGACTTGTCATGTATTTCCTTGAGCCATGTGGTCTCCTATCAATTGTCAAGCCCCGCCCATCTTATCTCATTATTGATTAATTTGACCCTCTCTTATGTTTGTTTCCCTGTTAAGTCTCCCTGTGTTTGCAGTCCGGTGCAGGTTCGATTGCCAAGTTGTCCATGTTCTTGATCCTGCCTGTTATTGTTCTCGTTTTCTCGTTTCATATTAAGTTTTGTTAGTTTGTTACTTAATAAATATACCCAGAAAATCTGCATATTAGAATTGTGTTTATTGTTTATTCATGAACATTCTTTTCAGGAATTCAAAATCTTCACACGTTTTGTTCTCAGAACAATCTTAACAAAAAGAACATTCTAAAGAAATGTTTTAGAACGAATAAAAAATATTCTTAGTTAGAAAAAAGTTGTATCAAAACACCAACTGTTCTCTGTGAATGACTACAAGAGTTTTTTCACTGCTAGTTTTTGAAACATCAGAACCTTGTTTGGGTTTTGATACACACTCCTCTGTGTTTGACAGCTGGTCACACGAATATCATGATTGTGGCTCTCGAACGTGTCTGCCAATAAAAAGACACTATTATCCCGAGTGTAAATGACGAGTGTTTTAACGCAGATCGGGCCATCTGTCCCTGTGATGGGGCGAGAGATCATCTGTCGTCTGCTCGAGCGTGCGGTGTGGACAATGGGAACATCTGCACATTAAATCCCAGCTATGTTTGAGCTGAAACAAAGGCAGAGTTTCAACAAGTGGCTCCTTGAAAACCTGAATCCCATGGTGTAAACATTCAGCTCTCGTGGTTATCAGCGCTGCGCGACAGCGATGGAGGACGGTTTCGCTGTACCACAGGAGATATACGTTCATGAGTCGCAACGCTATTGAACAATTATTTATAGTTTCATTCATTAGAATAAGCTTTTATTTCTTTATTTTCTGTTCATTTTATTTCTTCTTTTTAAAAATATTTCGTTTTAAATTATTTTCTGTTTCAAGTTATTTATTTACAGTTAACAATTTAATATTTATATTAATTGCTTAATTTTATTTTATTTATTTTTTATTATGCACTTTTGAGTTTTTTTTATATATTTTTAATACTATTTAGGTTTAATTATTTTCTATTTCAGGTTTTCTTTTAATCCTATTTCTGTTTATTTATTTATTTATTTTTTACTTAGTATTTGAAATTTATTTTTTCATTAGTTTTTGTATTATATAAGTATACTGTAAGTACTTGGACTATAATAAAATAGGACTTTGTTTTTATGTTCCATACAAACAAAAATAAATGGAAAAAGTACAACGCAAGATTTGTCACAAACAGTTTCAAGACAAGGAACAGCTTATTTAATGCAGTATGGCATTCAGTTGTGTTCAATTAGCTTTTAGCATGTGCATCGTGTATAATAAACAGCTTCAATTAGCTGATAGTTTAAAGACTTGAGTGTGAAATCTTGATTTGGACCAGTAAGAAACCACATCAATCCCACTGAGAATCATTCATGATGAACGTTCTTGCACTACCGCGCCACCAACGAGGGGTTAACTAGATTTCCAGAAGTCAGTCCTCAGTCTGAGCACTGAGAATAACCCCAGTCTTTATTTCCATGCCATTTCAGAAACACTTGGCCCGGAAGGCCGCGGAGACACATTGTGTCCAGTGGAACCGAACAAAAACCCAACATGCCAGAATTGTTTTCTCGCCTCGCAGCAGAATTTCTGACTGCGACTTTCCCTTTGAGAGAGAGAGTGAGAGAGAGAGAGAGACCCTGCAGCGTCATGCTTTAACAGCAGACGAACGTCTCAGGCTCGTTCTGGTGGCCCTGAAACTCAGCTTTTGCACCCACACACATATTCAAATTGACACATTATTCAGAGCAAGGTGGTGAGGTTCACTTTGTCTGAATATTAATAATGCATTAGACAGATTACAGGCATTTTAATTTCTTTACTGACAGTGCATTCTTTTATACATATATATATATATATATATATATACTGTATATATATATATATATATATATATGTATATATAATCTGGACATATATACAGTATTATGTATATATATATACACATATATAATTTGAATGCAATTAAAAAAATTGAGAAATGATTGTATGCCTTAAAAAAGCTCATATACAGGTATTTAATTAGGATAATGAGCTCAAACACACTCTAAATCCTGCGTTAGAGTTGCATTGCCAAAGCTCTATCCAATTGCCTAAATGTGTTTTTTAAAATGGATGGCTGGATGAGTGGATGGATGGGTGGATGGATGGATGTGTGGAGGGATGGGTGGATGGATGGATGGAGGGATGGGTGGATGGAGGGATGGGTGGGTGGGTGTGTGGATGGATGGGTGTATGGGTGGGTGTGTGGATGGATGGATGGGTGTGTGGATGAATGGATGGGTGTGTGGATGGATGGATGGATGGATAGATAGATGGGTGTGTGGATGGATGGATGGATGGATAGATAGATGGGTGTGTGGATGGATGGATGGATGGATAGATAGATGGGTGTGTGGATGGATGGATGGGTGTGTGGATGGATGGATGGATGGATAGATAGATGGGTGTGTGGATGGATGGATGGATGGATAGATAGATGGGTGTGTGGATGGATGGATGGGTGTGTGGATGGATGGATGGATGGATGGATGTGTGGATGGATGGATGGATGGATAGATAGATGGGTGTGTGGATGGATGGATGGGTGTGTGGATGGATGGATGGATGGATGGGTGTGTGGATGGATGGATGGATGGATAGATAGATGGGTGTGTGGATGGATGGATGGATGGATGGATGGGGGATGGATGGATGGATGGGTGTGTGGATGGATGGATGGATGGATGGGTGTGTGGATGGATGGATGGGGATGAATGGATGGATGGATGGATGGATGGATGGATGGATGGGTGTGTGGATGGATGGATGGATGGATGGATGTGTGGATGGATGGATGGATGGATGGGTGTGTGGATGGATGGGTGTGTGTGTGGATGGATGGATGGATGGATGGGTGTGTGGATGGATGGATGTGTGGATGGATGGATGGATGGGTGTGTGGATGGATGGATGGATGGATGGGGGATGAATGGATGGATGGATGGATGGATGGATGGGTGTGTGGATGGATGGATGGATGGATGGGTGTGTGGATGGATGGATGGATGGATGGGTGTGTGGATGGATGGGTGTGTGTGTGGATGGATGGGTGTGTGGATGGATGGATGTGTGGATGGATGGATGGATGGATGGGGGATGAATGGATGGATGGATGGATGGATGGATGGATGGATGGATGGATGGATGGGTGTGTGGATGGATGTGTGGATGGGTGTGTGGATGGATGGATGGATGTGTGGAGGGGTGTGTGGATGGATGGATGGATGGATGGATGGGTGTGTGGATGGATGGGTGTGTGGATGGATGGGTGTGTGGATGGATGGATGGATGGATGGATGGATGGATGGATGTGTGGAAGTGTGGATGGATGGATGGGGATGGATGGATGGATGGATGGATGCATTTAGATTCGGGGTCACTTCAAGACGCTGAGAATCGGGGTCACCTCGGGACGCTGTGGGGGCGAGTGCCGAAACACACGTCTGATGCGGATGAAGGAGAGCAGCTTGTCACTGACATCACGGCTGTGTGTTTTAATGTCTCCGACCGTTCCAGGCCAGAGCGCCGCCGTGATGCACACACACGCAACCAAACAAGAGAACATCAATGAGTGAGGATGAGAGGTGTCAGCCGTGTGTGTGTGTGTGTGTGTGTGCATTACCATCACACAGTATGTGGTACGATTATAACAATTACATTTCTGGATAAGAACCGTTGTCAGCTGCAGCACTGGAGATATGTCAAGAGTTCAAATGCATTAAGTTACACGCCATATTTGCAGAGCAAAATGATAAGCATTCATTGAAAATTAAAAGGACATTTTTCTAATAATCTGCACCGATGAATTGAGCAGATAAAAGGTACATTTACACAACAAAGTTGGAAACTAAAAATGGAAACAGACGACAATGTTGTTGTTGTTGTTTTTTTTTACAGACGACAACTGCACCTTGCTGCCAGGCCAGTAGATGGCGATGTCACGCCTGTTCACTGAACACGTAATACGCATGAGCATGACGTCACTGTTTTCACAAATTTGAGATTTTGTTTAGTGTACACAAAGACGATAACGGTGTCGTTTTCAAATGTTTGCGTTTTCAGGCTCCCGAAACGCTGTTATAGTGTAAATGAACGGCTAAATCGAATAAAAAGTTTTTCGTTTTTAATCAGAGCCAGTGTTGTTATTATGGAAACATGTTTCCGCAACGGAATAAAAAATTAA